AGGACAACTTCACCTTACCAATTAAGCAAGGAACATGAATAATACTCATCACTCACAGTCAGCAGCCAGCTTACAACAACCTTTCAACGACGATTTAGCAATCCTTCTTTTCTATACCTCAAATATGTGTCGATTTGGCACGAACAGGCACTCAGGTCTTTTCTACTCGCTTTCTCAAGGTTTCTCATTAGGTTCTCGCTCTTAAATCGTATACAAGAACACCTTGATCAGGGCAACAAATCCGTCGTAAACATGGCCCTGATCATTTCATAAATGACTCCAAGTAGGAATGAAGCATGAGACATACTATATAACTATACCTAGACATCTTCCACTCGACACTCTAAGGCTTAAAGGCAAACTTTTTATAACATACTCGCGCTGCCATTTAAAAGCATAGTTTTAAATAATTACATGACGGAAGTGGCTATTACAAGTGAATGTCTCCCTCTATAATTGCATTTGAGCCGTCCAGTTATCCAGTTATCCAGTTATTGAGATGGGTTGAAGCGAGGGGGGGTGAGCAAATTCGATAGTTACAAACAACGACCGGTCAACTTCGTGCAGATTCTGAGCTCCCAAAATCCATAACTGGCAACAAGGTGACGCTTTGTGCACTCGAAGAGATTAACAACTATGTTTCGCGTGCTTTTTATGCACCTTACACCGGCTCTACTCACACACACACCGAAGCCTGCACGTCACTGCAAATTGAAAATACTAATAATTTTTCCCACTGGCAGTTTCTTTCTAACAAAAATGTGTAACACTACGGACAGGCCTCTTATCGCATGTCACCACTACTTGTATGTGCTGCTAACCATTTTACGTAGATACCTAATTTTCAATGATATATGTCACCTTGTTTCAGNAAGCCTGCACGTCACTGCAAATTGAAAATACTAATAATTTTTCCCACTGGCAGTTTCTTTCTAACAAAAATGTGTAACACTACTGACAGGCCTCTTACCGCATGTCACCACTACTTGTATGTGCTGCTAACCATTTTACGTAGATTCCTAATTTTCAATGATATATGTCACCTTGTTTCAGCGTACTGGAGTTGTATTCGAGCATTTATCGTCATGAAGCGACTCGTACTGTTCCATATTATACAGACCTATATTCCTACAGGTGAGTTTTTTTTTAATACAAAATCTTTTTTCAAGTTGAACCCTCAGTATATATGTATATGAATATATTGGGTTGTCCGAAAAGTTCCCGCCGATTTTTGATCCATCTTTGAATGAAAATTCCTGGAAGAAAAATCCATAGATTGAACGATATATCCTCCATTCTGCTCAGTAAGGATTCCCATCTTCCTGAAGGTTCAAGTTCTCCTCTCCCATAGAGGATTCCAGACTTAAAATCGAAAAACCCACTCAGGTGCTTTTTGCAGTCCTCCAGCGAATTGAACGATTTTCCATTAAAGAATTTTGCAGAAACCCAAACAAGTGGTATTCTGATGGTGCTATGTTTGAACTATATAGGGCTTGTGGTAAGACATTCCACCCGAGCTTTAGCAACTTTTGACGAGTGGCCAAAAATACGTGTGGTCTGGAGGTACCCTGTTGGAAGATTACGCCCACACAATTGGCTACTTCGGGTCGCTTTTGGTCTATCGCTGCCTCCATATTTTCTAGCTAACTATAGTACCTTTCCTAAGTCATCTTTTGATTGTGCGACAACAGCTTATGGTAAGTAACTTCCCTGAAACCCCATCAGCAACTCGGCATAATCTTCCACACCTGGATTTTAACTTTTGCAGCGGTTTCACTACTACTCACTGCTCACTAGGGGGCTAGACGATCGTTTCCGCTCCTCATTGCTGTACACAATCCGATTCTCGTCCCTCGTGCTCATGCGTTTCAGAAACGGCTCATTTTTATTTCGTTCGAGCAACNTCTGCAGATGATCATGGATGGCCAATTTCAAAACATTAGGCCCTTGTCCTACTCCACGAGTAATGATGTGCCGATTGGCTTTGGTTAACATTTTGATTTGGTCGTTTTAGCTGATGTTAGTCTCCCTGAAGGTTGCCGGTTTTCGAGGGTAAATTCACTCTGATTGGATTTCGCAAACTAGTCATGCACTGTACGTTCCTCTTGGGCATGGTCTACTCAAACGTCACATATCTTTCATACGGCTTGAGCCGCATTCTAGGCCTTGTGGTAGAAGAAATACTTCAGATGTCGAAAATGCGCGCAGTAGTTCTCCATTTTCATACGAGTCCTGTACAGGAAAACTTTGACAAATCTTGAAATAATCCTAACTGGAATATAGAGGAGGATCTGCTCCTTAAGAAAACATATAACTTTATTAGGTTGGATCCTTGATCTTCTGTACAGCGGTTGATAAATCCGAGGTATCAAAAATCGGCGGAAACCTTTCGGACAACCCAATATAAATGTATATATTCATATATACATACAGTAGCGCTCAGAAGTCTTTGGTCTAATGCTTCGACGCTTTTTCGTTCATAACTTTTCTCTTAGTAGACCAAATCGCGCGCAATTTGGATATGTTTGGCTGGAGCATATTTCACCCTACCCAACACTGTTTGACTGCGAAGCTGCAATATCCACAGATAGAGCAAGGTCTTTGTTGCGGTAGCTGGATTTGCTAAAAGTAAATTCGTTGATGTCTGCACTTATTTGCACCTTATGTGCGTTTTCTCATCTATTGTGTTTGGCTTTACCGCTCGTACACTTTAGACATGACAAAAATGAAAGAGATTCTAGAAGGACCATCATCTGTATTTTCAGTCGATTTTGAGTTCATGCTCTTTGGAAGATCTGTATCATGATCAGATTGGAGGTCAATAGTGGTAAATATTCACAGTACCCCCGTTCTACAAATATAGAAATATCGCATGATTTAATCCAGTAGGAAAGGGGTTACGACTGAAAAGTACGGCTGAAGGACTATTTCACCGAAGGGTTTTGAGCTACTGTATATATGTTGAACCAAACTGTTGGACAGTATTTTGATGAATGAAATATATAGATGTGGGCTCTGGACTTTGAACGGTAAAGTGTCAAAACGACAATTCACAATATCATATTCGAAATTGATAGGGAGTGTGAGCTGTTAGGCGCATAGATTTGTTCTTGTCAGTGGCAACGGGTCATGGACAAGAGACATCATATAGTGATGCATAAATGGTATGAGCAAGCCTTGAGTTGGGACCTACGATGCTCTCGATTGCCACGATCATGAAATCCTACTTTATATAGCGCGCTAATGTCTGTGTTTGTCTGTGTGTGTGTCTGTGTGTGTGTTCAAACTTGGTAGGAGGACGGGAACACTTATGGTGGGTGGCAGGACCAAACTCCGCCCATAGGGGGCGGGGTCTGTGCGGAGTAATTGTCCAACCGGAACTTCATAACTCCTGTCCCTGTGGACCTAGAAAGTTCAAGCGTGGTAGAGTACTGAGGGCAGGAGGAGAACACTATGGTGAGTGGCAGGACCGGACTCCTCCCATAGGGGGCGGGATCTGTGCGAAAAAAATTTTGAGCGGAAAATCATAACTCCTGTCCCCATGAACCCACGACTTTAAAGTTGGAAGGAGTACCGGCGGCGGGATGGGAACACTCATGAAGGGTAGCAAAACCAGGCTCCGCCAACAGTGGGGGGGGGGGGGGGGGGGGGGGGGTTTGAGCAAAAATTGATAACTCCTGTCAGTTCAAATTTCAAAGGAGTACATGCGGCAGCATTTTGACAGTTATAGCAGGTCGCAGGACCGACTCCTTCCACATGGGGCGGGGTTTGCACGAAAATTGTCAATTTGGTCCTAGGGCGTTCAAACTTGGTAGGATTACTGGAAACATGATGGGAACACTTATGGAGGATGGCAGGACCGGACTCCGCCCACAAGGAATGGGTGTTGTTTGAAATAAATGTTCGAGCGGAAATTCATAACTCCTGTCCCTGTGGACCCAGAACGTTCAAATTTGATAGGAGTAATGGGAACAGGATGGGAACATTCGCTGTAGGTGGCAGGACCAGACCCCGCCCACAGGGGGCAGAGATTGCGCGAAAATTGTTAATTTGGCCCTAGAGCATTGCACACAACACCGCTGTTGAACACTACGAAATATAGTGTGGTCGCAGTAAAGGGAGCAGAATCGATATTGGAAAGTAATTTGAGCACACAGCTATCGTTAGGCCGGAAAAGGCCTACATCGTATATCAACAATAGCTCAGAGACTGGTAGATCTGGAGACCAACCCTAGAAGCGTCCATGTTTCGATGGCTTGTTGAGGCTGGAATATACACAACAAAGCAAAATTTGAAAGCTAAAATAGCTGATCGTCCGGAGATGCGAATTTTTTAGCAGCAGGGATACTGAGGCCAATTCGATCTGTTCTTGAAATCCTTGTATTCCGCAAACTCCGTGACGTCTCTTGCTTTCCTATGCACTGTCCCCCTCTATTCGAGACTTGAAAACGATGACTCTATTTATCTTTGACTGTGTGTGTTTTGAACTTGCAGATTTTTTCTGACTTGCAGACTTGCAGACAAATTTTTTCTTGCAGGCAGCCTCTTAATTTTTTTCAGTGGTAAACCACTTAGCACCACCCTTTCATTTTTGATTCCAACTACGCATAGCCTGCAATCGTGGAATGATTATTCAAATAACATTTTTCTCTGTGTTCTACTCGTAATCTGCTCCTCAACTGCTGCGCCAAACATCTCTCTGTATAAACCAATTCGACGTAATGGGATATTTAAGTGCTCTATTAAACACTTTCACCCTCGGTCAACTCTTGTTTCGGTTGCGTAGCCATGTCCCACTAGCCCCATGTAGAGTGCCTGGGTTTGGTAAGGCATGGGTCAGTTTTGGATTCTACAAAGAATCATGCGTTTCAAATGATATCGTGGGCTTGAAGAATAAAACTACGCGTTTCTGCCTCTGAAATTCAAAGGCAGTCACCCCTTAAGCACGATTTTTTGAAAGATAGAGACCGAGCAATACGTTACAGAAAAAATTTCCAGGTATGTTGGTTTCGATATCATGGATGACTTTTTGGTTGGATCCGAGAGCATCTCCTGCTCGAATCACTTTGACTATTACTAGTCTGCTTACTCTAACTACTATGAGCAACGGAGCTCGACAAGACCTTCCTCAGGTTCGTGCCGCCGTTTAAAAAGTTACATCAAGCGACTCTGTTCCCAAAATGTTTTTAGGTGTCCTACATCAAGGCACTAGACATCTGGTTGACTTTTTCGCAAGCCTTGATTTTTCTGGTATTGTTGGAGTATTCATTTGTCAGTTTCTACATCACACGACGGGTATTTGACTGTCCTCATCGGTCATGTTATTTTCAAACACAGGGACTCTCAAACAACAATCACAAGCAGGGAGTGAGTTGGTTGGCTTTTACGGTAAAACTCCAAATTCTACACAGAATTAAAGAGAGTTAGGTTTCTGTGAGCCCTTTGGAAGGTTGATACAAAAAGAGAGTGCTAGATAAGTGTTCTCCCATAGAGAAAAGACAGCTCAGTGTTACTGTGCAGTATATCGTTTGAACCAATCCTCGAATCGTTTTAAGAATCTTGAACATTCTCAAAATCCTGTCGTAAGTTGATCTTCAATCGAAACTTTCCCTTTTCCTTGCTTGTTTCCTCCCGTCTCTTCTCTAATTATATCCTCTCGTTATGTTGATGGATCTGCTCATGGACCTCTTGTCCCTTCCTCGACTCAGTTAACCTTGTGGAATCGAATGCGATCATTTTTACAGTGACTGCAAAGTGGACTAGTTTCCTGGGTCGCAAATTGTGAATTCGACTTTACCTAAAGCTACTGGGCAATAGCTCACTGGCCACAGTTAGAGTTATGCACGGCAACGTGGTGTACCTGGAAATTGGGTGGTGGTTTCCGTAAGTCTATCAATAATGTGGGAAGCGGAACGGTTCCCATTTCGCCTTGATTCGAGGACGAATGGCAAGTGCCTAAGTGTATCGGGCTCTTGTCCATTCGGATTGCTGATGCATCATGACTTTCGTCAATACACCTGACTTCTATCTCTGTTCATTTAGACATTTGCGGACTTAACCTTAAATCAAGTGTTCACGACTTTATTTTGCTTCTTACTCTGGATAGCTGCAACTCAAGATAGTCATTTATGCGAGATGGAGGCTTTTTGAAAGCGGTTGGACAGGCGTGAAGAGGCATTTAGCCTCTTGATAACTGTAATGCTGAAAATTATTCATCTGAAAATTATTCGTTATTCACACGTCTCCTTTATACTCCTCCCCTTTTCAGGAATAATCCCCTTCTCCTCCTTCACTGGGGGGTCACTCTCAACAGGATTCGTGGTTTAGGGCCACCTCACCAAATCAGTGATACTTCTTGTCCATTCAGTACCATATGCTAAAACAATAATATATGTGTATGCGCTTAATTCTCTTGAATCTGCGTAACTCCCATTACGGCAGCGTTTTGTAGAATCACTCATGAGAGGCTGCTAAATCCTGTAACAGTAACAGGCCCTCTAATAGTATGAGATTGAGAAGATTCGCTCGAAATTGCTTTCTCTACTCGGGTACTCATCAGAAGGAACAGTTAGCGGCAGAAGGGCTGAAGAACAGGGGGCTTGTTCTGCTGTGCCAGCTACTTTTTCTTCATTTTCCCGAAGATTTACCGGTGTCTCCACTTTATTTTTGTGAATAGGCCACATTTAGGCTGCAGCGAAAGTAGCTAGTGATTTTTTTCGACCCCAGACATTTCTGGTCGTTCCAGTAGTTGTGAGAATCAATTTCATTGCTATTTATTACTCTTTATGAGCAACCCTATGCGGAACACCAATAAGACCTTCGAACAGGGATCGGCAAACGAATACGTTGTGAAGTGCCGCTATCGTAACAGAGATGGCCGGCGTGACGATGAGAAAAGCCGTGACAGTCCATCGGGAAATGATGACGATGAACTGCAGGTATTGCTTGAAATAGATTTCATGGGTGAACAAAACACGCAATGTATTAGGTTGAGTCATAAGTCCTCGGACAAAGTGATAGTGATGACTTCTAGAGATCATAACTCGGGAAAGAGGCGACGAAAATGGGCGTGCCAGGCATCGTAAGATAGAGTACTGAAAGCTCTTCCAAATAACATGCTAAAGAATACACCTGACTATCTCCTGCGCTCGAGCGTGAGGAGAGAAAGTGCCATGTCGGCGCAAAAATCCATGTCATACTGCTTCAAAGCATGAGGCATCCATCGACCGAGCTTTCGCACCTTGCCCATTGACTTCAATCCACGAATAATTGTGGACTGACTCCTCAAGGGTGAGTGCCGGTTCACGAGTAATTCGATACAGATCGGCTTCCACCTGGCTCCGCAGCACCTCCAAATCCAACTCCATTGAACGTCCCGGACGGTCTTCATTTTCGATGGAATTGTCGTCCGGCCTGAACTTCGTGTGCCATTTGTGAATTNGATACAGATCGGCTTCCACCTGGCTCCGCAGCACCTCCAAATCCAACTCCATTGAGCGTCCCGGACGGTCTTCATTTTCGATGGAATTGTCGTCCGGCCTGAACTTCGTGTGCCATTTGTGAATTGTGCATCTAGCAGGAGCACCCTTCTTGTAAACTTCCTTAACACGTCTATCGATCTTCGCGGGTTCTTGGCCAGATAAAAAAAAAAGAAATTGGATGGTGCTGCGGAGGTGGAGTCGCGACGGCTTCAAATCATGGCACATGGTTGCAGGAAAGGAAACAGTTAGGTGTTTTTGTTAGTAGGTATTTGGAAGAGCTTTTTATACTCTATCTAACATTACCACGCGCGTCCATCTTCGTCTCCTCTCTCCCGAGTTATGATCTCTAGGAGTCATCACTATCTTTTTGTCCGAGGACTTATGACACAACCTAATAGAAATCCCGAAATCTAAGCAGACTCTAAGGCCGTACAAAGAGAAACTAGCAACTTCGACTAATACAAAGTGGAACTTCAAACACGAATTCGAAACATGGCTAGATCACACCGATAGGGTTCATATGAGATTGCATATACCCAAGTTTGACTCGCAATGAATCTCTGCATTCTATTTCCAGTTGCGACTTTAACTTTCTTAGCTGTGCAACCGAGACTTTACCACTACTTTATTCGGCTTGCGTTTTGGCGCTTCTTCGAAGCCTGGAAAGAAACAAGTCATTCAAAAAACTGTTCGATCAAGCTCTCGCATACCGCTCCTACCGCTCCTCTCTACGTATTTCGGGTCATAGGGACCCGATCATAAGATAGATCCCAAGTTCCGAATCTTTTCGGACTCCTTAATCCCAATGCTGTGTTCCAATATCGCAAAATGAACTGCAAGGAATCTGATCTTGGCTCAAAGTAGGGGTTCAGTGAAGTTGAAGCAACTTTTAATCCGAGGCTATAGAGATCACTGTGAGCATTAAAGGAGGAGAAACCAAAGTTTTTCGTAAGATATGGAGAAAGACAACATTCCCTCGCACCACTAAGAACCATTTACCGACCTTCAACCCCAAGGGCGTTTACAAAACAGTACCTCCGCTTTTACAGGGAGTGGATAGAACTGACGCGAGTGGCCAGTTTTTCTGAAATATCATAGTGGCTACGAAACATCAGGGCTCCAATTTGTGTCCTATTTTTATCAGACAAATTAAGCCCGGTCATATGATCACGTGTGAAAGGCCGGTTTTTCGGACATGGTGAGAGTTGTGGTACTCCCCCCTCTAACCCTAAACAACGACTGGTCCGAAATCGCTTGTATGATTGCCCGTGCACAACGCCTTCGTGTGTCTTATGCCCGTTCGGTATGGAAGGAGAGTGCATGACGTCCGGTTTTTTATATTTTATATTACGTCTTCAGTATATTACGTCTTCAGTGTGGAGGGAACAATATAGCTACTAAGCGGTAAAAAGGGAAGAAACAAAAGTAGAGAGAAAAGGCTAAGGCGATGACTAGAAGATTAATTATACATGGTTATCATTACCTTCACCTGCTTTTGTTAAGATGAATTTGACCGAATAGCTCCATGATCTCTAAACGATGTCCACGAGTGCACCCACCTTTGACCTTGAAGTGTCCGAAGCTGCACCTACTTTACAACCACGAGCAACTCGTGGTGTAGGTGGCAACTGACGAAAATGCGAGGCATAACGGTGAAAGGTTGGGTTCAGAGCAGAGTGTTCAGTGTATCGCTCAGAAACCCGGGATATCTTGTGAGTACAAAAGACAAAGAAGTGTCTTCGACATTCCTTATGCAATTCCCATTCAGAATGAAGTTTCGAACGCGTATTTCATTTCTACAATGACTCGGCCAGTATGCAGGTCGGTGCATATATCCACCCAACAAATCTGGTACTAGCTAACCGGCTCTGAGGAACTGGAAGGCTAGGCCGGCTTAGGTGGACCTCGACCTGGGATTAGATCCCGTGACTATTCGTGTGTGACTGTACACCATTTGCCGCACTGTTAATATGTATTATAGAGAAAAGCAAAAAATGGAGCGATATCGCATGCTCTGGTAAGAAATATGTCCTTTAAAGCTTTATAAGTTCCAGGTCACAAGAACAAAATCCCATATAATGCAAAAATTTCATGTCAAGGTGTCAATTCCACGAGGTCCAATCCATATTTCCTCGCACATGAAGCGCCGAACCTATAAGTGCTTCAAGCCGCCGCTGAAGATTCTCGTACACCCATAAAATCTGCTCACTCATGTTTAGCCCACCTAAAAACGCCCACATAACTCCATTCAGAGAAGCGTTATGAGTATCCTTTCAAACAGCCACTTTAACTTGAGATAATTTCCTGATAGGCCCTCTGACTTTTCCACAAGAGAAGAGTGTACTGACCGCAGAGCTGCGACTTTTGCGGTACTATGCGGCTTTGAACCCACGCAGTCGATATCGCAACAGCTCTTCTTGGCGGGATGGGGTCAGAAGGCCTACACAGTAATCGATAGGAGCGCCGCACTCGGCCTTCAGTGGCTTGTGGGAAGGTTTGAGTTATGTGATCAAACCTGTGGAAGCCCCTAAAGCGAGCCGACCCGATTGAGTCCTACTTGAACCGAATTCCTCCCTTTGGGATTATCGGTGGGCCGCACACGACGACTATCCTGAAAATCAGTTGGTCTGTCGATTACTGACTTCGTAATAGCATTTTGAACCCCCTTTAAACTTCCTCCGGGTTGAAATAGTGCTTCATCGATTAGTACTTGAGTGGCCTTCGTTCTTCAGGCGGAAGCGCTGAAATGTAGGTCGGATAAAGTCGTGCTGAATCTCAGTTGCACACCTCACAACGTCCGTCTTATCTGGGAAGTAGATGCAGGTTTTTACCACGCTGGAATTGCTCAAAAATAAGTAAGAGGACCAGGGTTCATGTGAAAAGCAGTCCAGTCAGGTACCCAATTAATACTGAAGAATAGAAAATTTCGGCAAATTTTAACGGTTA